AAATTTACAAAATATTTTCATGGAACATGATCTTTACTTAATATCCTAATGATTTTTGGCATAAAAGAAAAATCGATAGTTTTGACCAATACAATGTTTTTTTTGGCTATTGCTAAATATATACCCAAGTGACTTAACACTGGTTTTGTGGTCCAGGGTCACATATTGTTTAATATGTCTTTCGCTGCGAGTAGGCTGTGTGGCTCTTTGAAACGAAACTAACATAGAAACGTGTGCATATAGAGAATGAGCCTTAGAATTCATAGCCAATCTCACCAAAAACCATTGCCATAGTCTAATCATTTTCAAAGCAATACAGTAGTATCATTGGACCTGTCACGTATAGTCCAGAAGAAGACGAAGATGGTGACAGCAGCAAAATTAAATTGAATAAATAACTCAGAAGATAATCCACAAGCAAGACAGTGTGTCAAACACAACAATCAACAAATGAATAGAAACACAGAGCAACATAAACACAAGGCAAATGAGGGAACTAATGAATAACACCTGTGATGATTAATGAATGTCCATGACAACAAATGAGAAGCGGGAACTGAAACCAAGGAACACAAACTAAAAGTCCATGAATATGATACTAAAACAACACGAGGCGGAGGCGGGGATCTGGAAGACCGCGGTGGAGGCGGAGCGACTGAGAACTAGAGGTCTGCCTGAGCCCGGCCCATACCCGAGATCATTTGACGTGGCCCGACCCGAACTGTTAAATTTACAACCCGAACCCGAAATGGGTTTCTCACAACACATAACGTTTTGCAAGATGCTGTATTTCAGGATTGCATGCATCCGTCAGTAAACAAATATGTGTAAACCAACAGTTTAAACAGAGAAAAAGCACGTCGTTACCAATTATGAAACGTTGCTATGTAACAACACAGGTGCAACAGTCATAAATTCCTCTTGAATCTCGAACTTCTAACTTCAAAACAGAGTTCGCGGAAAGTGTTGCACAACTATTTACACAAATATATCCTTTTCAGCATGAGTTGTGAAGGAAGAGAACGGCATCGACAGGTGATGGTTTCAGCGCCGTCCTCCTCTCACTAAAAGTTACTCCAGCAGCACTGAAGTTTCTCTCGCTGCTGCTACTACTTGCAGGGATGCAGAGTATAAAACGGGCCAGTCTTGACAGTAATGGGAAAAAGCCGCTGTTGTTTTTCCACCAACCCAAGAGACACCGCTCCTCTTCCATGTCGTGGTTGCGGCTGATGTATTGCTGAACTTCATCAACAGTTTTATTCAGGGGCACGTTTATTGACTCCTCAAACTCTGCCACTACAGTCTTGCTTCTTTTAGTTGCCGGTTCAACAGCTGGCTCGCCACCACGGGTAAAGCTGGCTATCCAAAGCCTGGCTTCTTGGTGGATATTCTCTCTGTCAGGGTTAGACAGCATCCGGAGCTGACAGAATTTTGGCCATAGAATTATGGGAAGTTTATGCAGCGTCTCAATTTTGATTTTGCCATTCAGCCATTTGAGATGTCGCTCACGAATAAGCGCTTAAGCTGCTCATGCCACAAAATAACCAGGTTAAGTGTGGGATACTGGTCGCCATCTAGTTCGCTCTGAGCCTGGTAGAATGGGCGAAGAAATTCCAGCAGTAACTCTTAAGACACCTGTCGATTATTCGGCTTTCTCCGCGTTTGTCAAGTTTTTCATGAAGCTCAGTGTATACCTCTTTAATCGATTCCAAGGTAAGGAACACAGTGCTGAACCTGGTGTCTGACATTTGTATGACAGTTTTTGTTAACTGGTTTATTATACCTGTTTGCTTGACGCATCTTTGCTGCCAACAAAGTCTGTGTGACCTCTGGTGCGCAGTCTGGTAGTTCGTCACAATCAAGTGCACGTCTGAGTACTGTGTTATAAACATGGTCCTGACAATCCAGCCGATGATACAGTGAGAGTGCAGCAATTATGTTTGATCCCTGATCAGTGACCCAGACGACTTTGTTCATAACACAAACATCATATCCAAGTACAGAAACAAGCTGCCACTGTTATTCTCACCGTATGTTGTCACCGGTTTTTGCTTCTTCAGGGGGGAACATCGCTGTAGCAACTCTGCTTCAAAGCAAAAATTCTGGAGTGATGTAGTGGCAAGTGATTGTTAAGAAACTGTTCTTGCGGTAATCATCAGTCCACATGTCAGTGGTCATCCGAACACTAATATCCGATATTTCTTTGAGCACTGTCCGTCGTTTTGAGGCCGCAGCTTCCTTACATCTCCGAGAGATGGAAGTGGGATCAGGCAGCACACTCTCCGCTGGGACGCGGCCATAGGTAACCTGCTTTTGAACGAGTGCATCCACGGTCAATGTGTCGCTGTAGAGAAGATGTACCTGTCTTCTTACTGTCGTAGGCCAAGGCAGCTTTGCAAGCCCTAAACTGCACGTAACCGCTGAGCTCTTTATTGCTTGTAAGGACAAGATCGTAATTCCTCCATTGTGCAGTTTTTCCTGCATTGTTTGACACTGTAATGAGTTTCCCCTCACAATTTTTTTGCTTTATCACACTCATTTTGTCTATCGTGTTATGATAGAAAAAGCGCGCGAGATCAGGAGCACATGCGCAAAAGTTATATATGCCAAAAAATATATATTTACATAGCCTATATATATATTGTGAGGAGTGGGGGCGGGGCCGAGAGCCGTGGGAACGGAGCGAGGCCGGTGGAGTGATTGCTAATGAGCGACACCTGCACTCACTCACCGGTCTCGAGTCTCAACCCGAACCTGGCCCAAGCCCAAGGCTATTAGTTAAACATTAACCTGAACCCAACCTGAAGCCCGAAGGGTAGAAGACCTCTACTGAGGACCAAGGAGGAGCCGGAGGGGAGGAGGAGCCCGACTGAGCCAGAGGGAGGCGAAGCCAGAGGAGTGGAATCCCATAGCGATGGAGGGTCGACAACTGACCAAGGCAGAGCCAGAGGGACAAGGTAGCCCACTGGAGCCAGTGGGATGACGGGCCACGGTGGAGTCGAGGGAGCTAGGAGACAAGGCAGAGCCGATGGGTTGAAGGGCTGAGGTGGAATCCAGGCCTCGGATGCTGGAGGCGGCGACAGGGGTTCCTCACACCAAGGCAGAGCTGGAGACTGGAAGACGCACAACGAGACAAAGCTCCAGGATGGCACTGACTGAGGGTGAGCTGAGGGGTTTAGAGGAACCAGCTGAGAAAGGGCAGCAGGACTGGAAGATATATAGAGAGGAGGCAAAACAGAGGAACTGGCAGGGGATGAAGATGACTGGACAGCGGGAGTGGCTGAGGAGACTGAAGAATTGCACAACATCCAATCAAAAATAAAAAAAGTCACTTAAATAAATTTGGAGAGGAGGTGGGAGAGGGAGGCTGGGAGGGAACACAGAAGGCCCAGGGCTCAGGGATTCAGGAGGGTCAGGGCTGGACGGAACCAGCGGGAAGACAGATAATTCACTAAATCAGTGTCTTGAACTTATTGGGGCCGACAGTTTATGGACTACATACACACATCTGTGAGGAAACAGAGAATGTTTTCTGACTGAAAATACAGAACAGGAGAGAATGGTGTTTGTTTATTTTGCTAAGTGGAAACTGCGGTTTGGTTCTGATGCAATAACGGATATTGAGCTGCTTGTCTTTATTTTTCTCTTCTCTCTGCTGCTCATGTAAAGCTTGTGGATGCTGTTTTGAGTGCACTGTAAAAATCGAGTGTGAATTTACAGTATTTTCCTGTGTTTAAGTGTTCAGATTTCCGAGAAACACGCCTGGATTGCAGCAGTGACGTGAGAAGGCTGGATAGCAACTAGCAACTCTAGGATATACAGCACACATTTTGATTCAGGTAAGTAAATGTCTTTTTTTTTTTCTTCATTTAATTATTTGTATTTCTTTGCGTAAATTTTTCAAGTATGATGTGGTATAATTTAAAGGGTTAGTTCACCCCAAAATGAAAATTCTGTCATTAATTACTCACCCTCATGTCGTTCCAAACCCGTAAGACCTCCGTTCATCTTCGGAAAACACAAATTAAGATATTTTTGATGGAATCTAATATAAGAATCTAATATAGACAGCAACACAACTGAAATGTTCCCAGACAGAAACGTAGCAAGGACAATCGGTAAAACAGTCCATGTGACATTAGTGGCTCAACTTCAATTTTGCGAAGCTACGAGAATACTTTTTGTGCGCAAAGAAAACAAAAATGATGACTTTATTCAACAATTCTTCTCACCCGAGTTACAGTCTTCCGCCATTTACCCTAAGTGTAAACAACGCTGATTACGTTCATGTGCCCGTTTCCCCCCTAATGGAAATAACACCGATTACGTTCTTAGGTACTTTTCAAAATGGCAGAAGACGTAACTTGGGGGAGAAGAATCATTAAATAAATTGTTATTTTTGTTTTCTTTGCGCACAAAAAGTATTCTCGTAGCTTCGCAAAATCGAAGTTGAGCCACTGATGTCACATGGACTGTTTTACCGATTACCCTTGCTACGTTTCTGTCTGGGAACATTTCTGTTGTGTTGCTGTCTATGGGAGGGTCAGAGAGCTCTCAGATTCCATCAAAAATATCTTAATTGGTGTTCTGAAGATGAACGAAGGTGTTACGGGTTTGGAACGACATGAGGGTGAGTAATTAATGACTGAATTTTCATTTTGGGGTGAACTAATCCTTTAAGCCAGCATTGTGGTTTCGTCATTGCTTTGAGTATTTTTCTCTCATTCTTAGTCTCGTCTAAGAGCAGTGGTCTGCCAGAGCACCACTGTGTGACGAACCCATTGCAGTTGTATGCAAAGTGCAAGAAACTATATGCACTCAAAGATCTGCATCCAGTGAAAATTATACTTAAAAATTGAAGGCAGCAACTGAACTTGAGTTGATTTTTGTTTTGTTTTTTTGGAATATCTAAATCCAGATGGTCTGTGAGCCAGATGAGCTGTGATGGTGTTAGTTGTGTTTTGTACAGATGTGTGTGTGTGTGTGTGTTCAGTCCTCACCATGACGGAGATGTGCAGCAGGTGCATGTGTTCGTGCAGGACGTGTGGTGGTTCCCGGACGGTGGGCTGCGTGACCTGCGACTGCTGCTCAGAGCTGCTCATAGCCACGTGGAAATACAGCGTCCCGTTCTCCAGCCACTGCTGCTTCCAGTGCACCTGCGAGATGTCCGGCCCCGTCCCCGACATCTCTGTGAGACACGGACAAAACACCGGTCAGCTGTGGGCTGGATTTAACGGTCATGAAAATAATGTTACAGTGCAAAAAATCATAATGGCAAAAACAGGCCTGATTAAATGTTGATGTACGTTGATTATTTGAGACTGTATATGGTGTCATAGTATAATACGCTCATCCTGTAATTATATAATATACAATATATAAACATCAGCGGTCAAAAGTTTGGAATAATTAAGATTTTTCAGTGGTTTTGAAAGAAGTCTCTTCTGCTCCCCAAGGCTGCATTTATTTGATCAAACAGTAATAAAGTGAAATATTATTCCAATTTAAAATAACCATTTTCTAATTTAATAGATTACAATATGAATCATTCTAATGATTATATATAAAGGTTGTGGATGGATTTGGTGGTTGTGACTCTTCCTGAGCCTCCATCTGTGCCCTTAGGCTCTGGTAGCGAACTCTGACATCAGTGCTGAGTAATTATGACATCCTGGCAAAGACATCCATTTGCCCAGCTTCAAACAGGTTTTTCCGAGCATCAAATAGCAGGTAAACGGGCTCCCTTTATACTGACACTCTTTTGATTTCTCTAACGGTTCTTGACGTCTTCAAACTAAAAGCGGCATTGTCAGATGTATCCAACTTCAACTGGAAGAACGGTACCTCTAACTTTCTGATATCTGACAAGTTTCAAGTGTTTATTAGTTCACTTAAGTCCTCAAAGTTACGGAGATAACCACAAACTTAAAACAATGATTCAAACAAAATACAGTCAAAATTAATTTAGTTCAGCCAAAGCGAACATTCTGTCATCACTTACTCTCATATCACTCATGACTTGCTTTAAAAAAAAAAAAGCAGATATTTAGCAAAATGTTCATACTGCTCATTAACTTACAATAAAAGGAAAGAGTGACCAGGAGGTGTCAAGCTCCAAAAATGACAAAAAACATAAAGAAAATGATTGCGTCATGCACTGTAAGTCTTCAGAAGTCTTACGATAGCTTGCCGTGACAAACAGACCAAAATTGAATTCAGTAAAAAAAGATTTGCCAATGCATTTAAATCCTGTTTGCACATGTGCATAAAATGTTAAAACAAGTTAATCTAAAATTAAAACTATTAAAAAGTGTTTGTTGCTCAAATAAATAAATGCATTCACTTAAATATAAATATTAGATGAAAAACTTCAACTTAAAAAAGCTTAAATAAAAAACATAAATGTTGCCTTGCCAACTGAAATAAAATAGATGTGCTAAAACAACAATTAAAATAAATCTGAATAAAAAAAAAAAATAAATAAAAAAAAAAGCATGAAAGCACATAACAAAATTACTATAAAATTACAACGAAAATCGAAAATTACATTACATTAGCATTTATGCATTTGGCAGATGATTTCATCCAAAGGGACTCATACTGTATTCGAGGTATTCATTACATGAGTTCATGCATTCCCTGGGAATCGAACCACATGAACAGAACTACAGGAACATTTAGGGAAAAAAAAGCAAATGAAAGACAACGGTTTGGAATGACATGAGGGTGAGTAAATGAGAGTGTTTTCATTCTGAACTCTTATATTAATTCCAGCTGTAGTTTAATTTTTAGAGATTTTTTTTTTTTTTTTTCCCGTCTGATCTGTCTTCTGGACTTGTACACAAAATGCATTGCAGTAATTTAATTGATAGTAAGAAAGAATTACATACTCTAAACCAGGGCTGTCCAAACTCGGTCCTCGAGGGCCGGTGTTCTGCAGAGTTTAGCTCCAACTTGCCTCAACACACTGGAAGTTTCTATGCCTAGTAAGAGCCTGATTAGCTGGTTCAGGTGTGTTTAATTAGGGTTGGAGCTAAACTCTGCAGGACACCGGCCCTCCAGGACCGAGACAGCCCTGCTCTAAACATTAAACATTCTAGTCACTTGCTCATAAAAGAAAATCAGCAACTGGTATCAGAATCGACCCATTTTATTATAATAAAATTGGCAATCGTTGGCCATGAAAAACTGAAAATTCATAATCGGTGCATCCCTATTAATTATTCCTCATGACTTTCGCTCACCTCATCCGTAGTCAACAAATAACTCTTAAATCAGTCAGTCTGGTAGGAATGAGAATAACACACGGTTCACAAGCACCGCTGGATTGATTTGCAATAATTCTTGATTCCAAATCATTTTCAGAGATTTGCTTCATAGACTTCAGTCCTCAAAGCATCATCAAAAACCTCCAGCGTGTCATTGTATACAGCTCTATGCAGCTGTGAGTGAGAACTGCACCAGTGCTGTTATTTGGGAAGGAATCGAGTCCTTGAAGGCGGAGTGAGCGATCTGACTCCAGCGCGGATGAAATGCGGCCAGATAGGGATCAGATACGTGGGATGGGTTTTCCATCGACTCAGGTTTGTGTTTTGACCGCTCGGTGGGACCTAAGGAGCAAAGAGCAAGAAGCTTGATATTTTCAAAGGAGCTGCAGATGTGAGGCATAGCTGTTTCACCAGTAACGAGGAGCAGGAAATTGATCCTGGAAGAGCACAGAGTGGCCTGAGAACGGGACATTCGGATCTCAGGAAGCTCCTGACCTTTAACACAAGTGCCGGATGTCCAGAGGAAGACATTATTGCTCTGATATTTCTCTTTCAGATCTCTGGAGACTTCAGGGACTTCGAAGTTAAGCTTCATTTAAGTATGGCCCTTGTCAAAAAGAAGTGCACTTAACTCTATTTAATGTGTTTCTTAACACACTTAAGTAGAAAGTGCACTTTGTAATAATGTCAAATTAAAAGTTATACATTAAAATTTCATTTTAAATCATGTTTTAATAAAATTCTGTCATGCTTTAAAGAAGTACACTTATTTTGATGTGCTGACTAACATACAAAAAAGCACATGTAAAATACTTGAGACTTAAAGTACATCAGAAAAAAAATATTGAGAAATTTAGCATTACATTAGCATTACAGCGAATGGGTGCCGTCAGAATGAGAGTCCAAACAGCTGATAAAACCATCATAATAATCCTAAACAAATCCTTTTGGGCTTGTAAACAGTGCTTGATTTGTGCAGATCTCTCTCCTGATTCAGG